TCATCAAACACATTTTGCTATCTGAGGTCATTGGTATCAGGTCAGATCACAGAGGTCAGGTCAGCGAGGGTCACAATATGAAAGTGTCGTCTGATTACGAGCGAGCGAGCGCAGCGAGCGAAGCGAAGTCTTTTCAATATAACGGAAAAATCTCAGTATGAGCGGCCCGGCCCGGCCCGGCCCGGCCCGGCCTGTAACGCTTTTGAGAGGCTTATATCTCAGCAACCGCTGGACCGATCCTATCTCCGAAACTACTGGGCTGATCGTCAAAATTCAAACGGCGTCTGAAAGCCCTGCAAAAATTGTCGAGCGAAACTTATTTTCATTGACTTTGAGGTCACCAATGACGTCACAGGTCAGTTCAAAGTAAACATTATCGGCATTTTTGCTTGTTCACAATATAGGCTCTGACCGCCGGCTGACTAGTCCGATCAGGCTCATTTTTGGTTTACGCACTCCTTGATATATGCCTTAGATACCTTGAGGGTACCGAACTTTTACTTTGAATTTTAACCCGCGCCCTGGTGGGGTCTGTTTATAACGCGACCTGGTGGGGGGGGGGGCTATTTTTTGCCCCCCTTCGTATCTCCGAAACTACTGAACGGATCCGAAAAATTCAAACGGCGTTCGAAAGGCCTGTCAAATTTGTCGAGGGAAACCAAATTTTATTGACCTCGGGGTCACCGATGACGTCACAGGTCAGGTCAAAGATGAAATGTTTCACCGTTCACGGGTCTTCTAGGGAATGCGCTATAACACCGAGGAAAACGCATTTTGTCGGGAATCAGCGATAGGGCGTCAGTTGCCTAGTAGATATGTTGCTGTTAGAGGTCACTGGTCATACCAGGTCAGGTCACAGGTCAGGTCACCAAAGGTCACCAAGGGTCACCACATGAACCCAACTTTACTAAGGTTATGCGATGCATGTTTTATGGCCAGTTTTTCATTTCCAACTCAATGGTGTTGGTTATAAGACCATCAGGTACGGTTTAGGTCACTTTCTGGTGGAGGTCAGGTCAAGGTCAGGTCAAAAAAGGTCAAATTTCAAAGTTGATATTTTTGCATAAAATGGGTATTGATTCGATGCAGCTCGTCACGGGGAGTCTAATGGTGGTCTTTGTTTTGCGCTACGAGGTCTAGAATTGCTGAAAATTAAGTTTGAAAATTTGACGTCATCAATTTTGAACAGTTTTTTCGCTATAACTTGGCCAAAAAAAGAGGTATCGATCTCAAATTTGGTATGTGAATAGAAGGCGGTAAGGACTATCACATATATTCCGGTTTTTCGAAATTCAAAAAACTTTTTGGATTTTTTGGCTATTATATTAAAAAAATCTATTTTTTGATTTTTGGGGGTCAAAATCCAAAAATTTAAAAAATCCGAGATAGCAGTTTTGTAGCCCTGTCCATTCTACAGCTTTTATGTTTTATCATTTTTCTGTATTTGCAAAGCTATAGGCCTGACAGCTCTTCCCGCGAAACCCTTTTTTGGGTCGAAAACGGCAGAACATGACGTCACTCTGACGTCATTTCCGGCCAACCTATCATAGCCTTTGGAAAAAATTTTGGTCACAATGTGTAAAATTGATGTCCGGGAGGGTACTGAAAGTTTGGTGACGATCGGCGCAGTGGTTCTGGAGATATATCGAAAAGTCTGGAGGGGGGGCAAAAAATAGCCCCCCCCCCACCAGGTCGCGGGTTAAGGTCAAGGTCAGGTCATTCCAGGTCACGAAAATTGTATGTCATGTATCGGGCATGCGACGCATGTTTTATGGTCCATTCTACTCGTAGATTTCGAAAACAATGTCGTCTGTGTCATTTGAGGTCATTTTCAGTTGAATTTACCTGAGGTCAGGTCACTTTCAGGTCAGAAAAGGTCAAATTTTGAAAATAAGATTTTCAACAAAAAAGGTGCCTATCAGATGCCGTTTGAGCTCAGGAACACGATGGTGCCATTTATATTGCTGTACGATGTCAAAAACGTACTAAAAATGGTTTTCAAGAATAAATAGGGGAAGCGGGGGTAACACCGCCACTGTGGGAAACACCGCCACCCCATCTGGCGGCGAAAGTATGAAATGTGAAGTGTAAAAATCCGTTATTTCCTATTGACCGCACGCAGGTAAGCGTCTTCTGATTTGTGTTCCGGTGTTTCAGTGTAATCGAAGCTCAATGTGGGCATTTAAAGAAAAATGCACATTCTCTTATAAAAATTCGATGAGTTGGGAGCACTTTTGAATGTCTTTAAGTAGAGACTCATTTTGATTTACTTGATTACATCGAAAAATAACTGATCGGCTTTGTCCAGTAAGATAAGTTTGCTTGAACCGTGTAGTACATTCTTACCGCTGGCGATTTTTGCTTGTGATCACTTATTGGGGAACACCGCCACCCCGTGGCGGTGTTACCCCAATTGAGGTTGCGGTGTTTCCTGTTTGTAGCGTGATAAGTGATGAAACTCCAAAGACACGCTTTATTTATGTTCGTAGATGTTCCTAAGTCGGGAATAAGCAGCTTATTTGATTTTTTACTTTATATTTTTCATGCATCCCGACCAAGCACTTGCCAGCTGTATAAAACTGGCAAACAGCTGATGAACTTATACCTATTTAGGTGTCCATTACCGATTATTTGCGAAAATTACCACTTACCGACAGGAAACTCATCGCACACGATCTCTGAACAATTAAAAGCTTTCGTAGGAATGGGTTGGGTTAACATCAACACCGGTGGCGGGGTTACCCACACAATTTGTAGGCAGCAAATATGCAAGGTATTTTTAAAAGTCGTGATACATGAAAACCTTTTAGGAGCATGCAAAATAAGTACCTAAAACACGTGAGAAAATGTTTAAATATTGTAACCAAAACAATAACTACCAAGAGACTTCACACATATTCTCTCATTTTGGCGAAAAGCTTAGGGGGGCGGTGTTACCCCCGCTTCCCCTAATTGTAAAATTTTCACAATAATGCAAATAACTAGGCTATTTTTGAAAAAAATAGGCAAAGACTTGCTAGAGTAGTTCATCACTGTGGGTTCTATCACATATTTTCCAGTTTTTGCGAAAAAACAACAGTTTTTTGAATTTTGAAAAAAGATGTAGTTGTAAAACATGTTTTTCAAAATTTTCAAAACTTCGAAAATTCGAGGCAACAGTTTGATAGCTACGTGTATTTGTAGTCCACTGATGCAAAGAAATTGGATGTAGCTTTTAAAACTAAGCTCTTGGGAGCGTTTGCCGTAATTCAATATTTTGCATCAAAATCGGCCGACATGACGTCACTCTGACGTCATTTCCGGCCAAACTATGGTAGCAAGGAAATTGAAATTTTAACACAATGTGTCAAATTGTCAAATTGATACCGCTGAGGGTACTGCAAGTTTCGTGTTGATTCCTGAAACGGTTTAGAAGGTTTTGCCGAAAAACGGGAGGGGGTCTGTAGAGCTCCCCCCCCCCAGTCATGCACGGGTTAACGTATCGCGGGTAGATGACAACACGGTCCTATCGGGTCGAGCGTGGTCCTCTCTCGCCAGTTGCCACCCAACTGGATATAGAAACGTGGGCCAAACGACGTGGAGCTCCTTGGCTGCGAATGCACTATTACCAAGTTGCAAGATGGACACCTTATTATCCACTAGACCACACAGAACAGTTATCATTTAATCACTACGAATATTTTATATATATATATATATATATATATATATATATATCAATTAGCTACTTAATGCTTATGCTTAACTATGCGATCGGCACTCATCTCACGCATTTTGCACAATATTGTGCCGATGTAAACACTAATTGAGAACAACTAAATACTTCCTTACCTCACGCCATTTTCAACAAGAAATTTCTCGGATAGATGACCGTTCCATCTAAACACCATTAATTAATTGCATTATAGAGATCTGCATGCCTCTCTAGTACTACGTAGACATCTATGACATCCTTTACGATTCAAGTAATAATTTAAAATTTGGTGACGATGCGCAGGTATATGCGTTGCGATCTGCTGAGATATCAATAACTTCGAGTACAAGATGCAGTCAAAATATTTTGTCCAGGATACACACATTTACTGAGTTCCCGTGTTAACCCTCGCATGTGTAGGGGGGGGGGGGGTCGGATGGACCCCCCCCCATGGTTTTTCGCGAATAACTCGCGTAAAAAGCGGCCGATCGCGACGAAACTTTCAGTACCCTCTCATTGATCAATTTTACACCTACCCTGAAAATTTCATGACCCTGACCCAAATGACCTTTGACCTGTGACCTCTTTTCCGAGACCATGTTTGGCCGGAATCGCGATTCCGCGTATGTCGGCTCGCATTAGCCGCGCGTTTGCAAGCTTTTCGTGGTTTCAAACGTTCAAACATGTGATTTGATGTTGCTCCCATGCATTAGAATGGGTGTCAAGGTCACCTGAAGGTCAGGTTAGGTCATTGACCTTTGGTGACCTCGGGTGACCTCGGTTCACTTTTTCGAGTTTTACATGTTTCTAGGCTAGTTTTTGGAGCTGAATTCGAATTTAGCAACCATTTGAACATTTACGAAGTAGTTTTGGTGCCTTCGTAACATGTTACGAAGCTGTCAGAGGCGGTTGACACGTACTACGAATACCCGTCACAACCCCTACTGGTTGACCTGACCTGACCTGACCCGACCTGGTCTAAATGCTTAAAGACATCATCTGTGATCAAAACTAACACGATATTCGTGATCAGCACCCCGAAAAAACCCATAGCAGCCACACTTTACGACTTTCTAATAGGTCCCGATTTTCCCGACTTTGGGTCATTGACCTGACCTGGAAGGTCAACCAATGACCTAGGACCTTAAAATTGGGTATCATCGGCTTCCTCTTGTCACGGGCAACACGCTCGTTTTTTCCGCGAAGCTCTAGCTCGATCAGGGGCCAAACGGCAAGGGGGGGGTCCAACCGACCCCCCCCACACACATTAGAAGCTGGCAAACGCCGCACACATGCGAGGGTTAATAGTCACATTATTTTCAAGGCAAAGTTACTTGGGTCCGTGGCCTACCCTCTGCATAATTGCGATACGAACCCATATTACAACAGCCTACTATCTGAGAGCATGATGAGCCATAATTGGCACGCACACAATCAAATGTTTTGTTGGCAGCCTGACCAGCAAAAACGGCTTCCAAGAACAGGTATATTCGACCGCGCCAAAGCTTCCAGACCATTCGCCATCGTGCGGAGATGCAGATAGGTTTATAAGTATCAGAGCGCGACACAATTTGTACTTAAAATGCGAATTTGGTGGTACGTGCTCACATCATTAGTAATTGGATTATTAACATCGGTACACAGCAAAAGAGGTGAGAAAGTTAATGTATTATTTTTAGATACTTGTATTGGTGATATTTTTTTCAAAACCATCCATATGGGTAAATAGGATGCAATGTTTGAATATGTTCATGTTAGCTCACGCTTGTGGCAGTGCAAAGGCATCAATAATGTTTAAAGGTTATAGAGAAGTGATTATGGAGAGAGCGAGAGAGCAAGAGAGAGAGAGAGAGAGAGAGAGAGAGAGAGAGAGAGAGAGAGAGAGAGAGAGAGAGAGAGAGAGAGAGAGAGAGAGAGAGAGAGAGAGAGAGAGAGAGAGAGAGAGAGAGAGAGAGAGAGAGAGAGAGAGAGAGAGAGAGAGAGAGAGAGAGAGAGAGAGAGAGAGAGAGAGAGAGAGAGAGAGAGAGAGAGAGAGAGAGAGAGAGAGAGAGAGAGAGAGAGGAAAATAGGTAGGAACGAAGAGAAAAATATAGTAAAAAAAAGAATGCAAGAGAAAAACAAGAAAGGGAATGACGTCACCATCTATGGGAACATTCATAAAATATACTACACATCTATAGGATCATTTTTAGTGATAGAAAAAATACACCGTTCAACAGGACCGGTCTCAGAATGGTGATTCTTCACAGATCCGAAGCAGCTGGTCGCCTTTGTATATACGTCAACACATACGTCACTTACAATTACCACGACCACAAGCGTGGTGCCCCGCATATGTATCTTCGGTAAGTCTCCAGTTTCAATCGCTAAACCAATCCATTCAGGTCTTATGCAAATTGCATGCTGTTGTTTTCAAACTGATAGTTATTTCAAACATTTTTAGCATTTTTATTTAGGAACAAGGAGGAACAAATGGAGATTATTAGGAACAAATGGAGATAATAAACGCTTCCGGCGTTTACACGTAACACCGACATTTTTTGCATTGCCATTTCTATCGGTCTCTTCCAAAAAGTGACTCCTCGTGGTGAATATGTTGACAGGCCCGTACACGCTGACGACCTGCTCGGGTCGCCGCCGGAGGAGACGCAGTCAGAAGGACAGGTCGGTCCAATTCTGAACAGCTGTGTTATCTTACATATGTAGTTCTGTGCTGATGTAGTTGTCAGCTACGGTGAAATCAATCGAGTGCTATGTTCATTGTTCATTGTAACAGATCCCAAGGCTTCCTGTCGTGTTACGTGTCAAATTATTATATTTTGCCATATTTCCATACATCTGATGCGTATTTCGAACTTGCCACTCCATTTTACTTACTGACTTGTCAAGATGTCATGTGTTTCCATGATTACTTAGTGATGGGTGCATCACATCTGCTGTTTATGCTGGTGCGATGTTTCTAGCGCGTTGCCCGTGTGTTACAGCGGCTGGGTGGGGCCGCCGTCGCGGGGTCGTCAGCCGGCGCCGCGCCTCCACCCGTCCGGCGAGGGCGGGTCGAGCGCGGCCGCCGGCGGCCGGCGAGCCCGCTTCTTGGCGCTCTCCTTCACCAGCCTGGTGACGGTGACGTCCACCACGACCAGCACCACGTACAGCACGGACACGGCCACCACCGTGTCCGTGTCCGTGCTGTGCACGGCCGCCGGCATGAACCTGGAGACCATCTACTGCGCCGGCGGGTAGGCCGAGGGCCGCTGCGCACCGTCTGCAGAGGTGGACCGAGGTCTGTCCGTCTGTCCGTCTGTCCGTCTGTCCGCCTGTCCGCCTGTCCGTCTGTCCGTCCGAGGTGGACCGGAGTGGCATTCACTGGCCGAGGCGCCAGTTCGTACAATCAGCAAAAGTGAAAAATGACGGATAATGTTTCATCTTTTTAGCGCGTGTTATTGAAATGCATTCTATGCATGTGGATACGATGAGGACGTGTTGATAGGTCATACTGTTGCAGATGCAAGGATTGTGGGGCGGCCAATACGTACAACAGATCATAACTTACATATGTAGTCTTCATCATACCTTGGTTTAAAATGTACGTGTCCAGAGACTATTCGCACATCTCACCTATAGAGGCAGATACCTCCGATTTATCTCTGTAGCGAAAACAGTGCCACGAATAACAACCAACGGAACTTTTCAATCAGGGTCGTTTATGCAGGTTTTGTCCAAAATATATATGTTACGGGTCATATGCTAACTTGGGCAGTATGCAAACTACCCGGGCAGTATGCAAACTACCCAACAGCCCGGGAAGTATGCATACCGCCCGGGTAGTATGCATACTACCCGACCCCTTGGGCAGTATGCATACCGCCCAAAAGCTCGGGCAGTTTGCATACTGCCCGCTTGTTATCTTGAAGTTGTGTATTCCATGTCCATTTTAAGAAGTATTAATGGCTCTATTAGTATTGGCCGGTCCTGTAGCTCAGTCGGTAGAGCGTTGGACTCCGCGTGGTGAGAGCACGCGTTCCCGGTATAACAGTCCGGGTTCGAAGCGCGACGGGCGATTGACGTTTAATGAGCCTCCTTACAGGTATGATTGCGGTTTGTGGCGGGCCGTAGCCAAGCGAAGTCAGTGAGAGGACCGGCCGTGCGCGGCTCTGTGCGCACTTTAAACTTTGAACTCCAAATTCTGCCATAGAACCAGCATTGCGCGATCGGAGGGTAAACGGCAGGGGTACCGCAACAAGCTTCGCTTAGCGGGGGCTCTGTCCCTGTGAATCCTTCTATTCAAAGGATAAAAGGTTCGGACTAAATATAAAAAAGCAACGTTGTTCAATCGTGAAGTCTTTTTTGCCGTCAAACGTGATTAATCGATCGAAGGGTGAAATAATGTTTGGAATATAAATACTTTAAATATTTCCCCAGAATTTCATTGAATTTCATTGCCAACGGCCAACAAGTCATTTTCATCTGACATGACGACAGATCTATAGTGCCATCACTCGCTGGCTTGGTTTGGCACTTGGACCTGTAGAGGGCGTTATTATAGTTTCAATAGCTAATGTTGCATGGAACCATTTGCATGTAAGACGTTACAAGTTGTTATGGTCGGGTTACCAGGTCAGGTCAAGCGACCTTACCCCAGAAAAAGTTAGAATGCTCGCCATTGCTACACGGTCCGAACGATCGCTTTGAAACTTAAAGCGATTAATAAGAGTAACGTTAGGTTCAAAATGCATGTATTTGAATTTTGATATCATACCAATAACTTAAGGTCAAGTCAATTTCGCACAGTCTCCCTATAAGAAGTTGACAGGAGAAAGTTGAAGGACGCCTCTTTTGATGAACGTCATTCTAAACACTCTCAAACATCGGGCTACAGGTAAACATGACGCACCGAATCGAGACATTACACTTGTGACCCCTTTTTATGGCCATGAGGTCATGTCAGTTCATAAAAGGTCTCCAGCAGTTCTTTGACCATTATTTTTTATGGAGACGTGTTGGAGCGATGGTCATGGAAACAACCTTAGATGTGTTCAGTTCGACGATAAGGAGCGGCTGATAAACAACATCACATGACCTTTTCATGTCAGGTCATGACCTTGACCTCAGGTCAAATTTTGAACTTAGATCAACTTCGAGTACTTATTCCAGAAAGCGCTAAAAGAGCTATCGAATGCTTCTTTCTGCGGCGCTGTAGCTCTACTATCTTCCGAGTTATGGGCGAATTTATAAAAAATGAAAAGACGAAATTTGATCTTTGATAACCTTTGTTGCCTTTTTCTTTGACCTGACCTTAAAAATGACTAGGGCACTTTCGTCATGATCTTTGACGCTATTTCGAATGCCAGTTACCGCATCTTACATGCCGCTTACTTCTGTTCCGCTAAGTGGCACGGGAGTCGAACAGGGTGTTCACCCCCCCCCCCCCCCAGCCCGGCACGACTGGCGCCGAGCACCGCCCCGGCGCGGGTTAAAGCGTCTGTCATTGACATGTATATGTGAGCTATTGCATTAACTGGTCTCACGGGCCACGGTCAGCATATTGCCCGAGTAAACATCTTGCCCGTGAGAGAAAAGGTGGGTAGTATGCATACTACCCGGGCAGTATGCAAACTGCCCGGGCGGTATGCATACTGCCCAAGGGGTCGGGTAGTATGCATACTACCCGGGCGGTATGCATACTGCCCGGGCTGTTGGGTAGTTTGCATACTGCCCGGGTAGTTTGCATACTGCCCAAGTTAGCATATGACCCGTAACATATACAACTTACGTTACTTGCGATGATAATTGGTAGGTGTTTTCTAGCAAACGTGCTGAATACATCGTAGTAAAGCTTGTATTCCCTAAGATAGTGAACGCTAATGACCATTTTACTGGAATGTTGCAATGTTTTCTGAGGGATCTGTGAGGCAATGTTTTTTCTCATGTATCTAAACACAAACCTGACGTTGTCTATTGTTATCTGACCTTGTGCTTTGTTAAGAGCTGTGAATACGGTCGTTTGGCTAGTGGAATGTATGCGAGTGGTTCCGTGAAAACAATAAAATATATTGAATAAGAATGCACGAACTGTTTTGTTTCAACCCCGACATACCAAAATAGATCATTCGTTCGAAGAAAGCTATTAGCCCGGCAGGCAGTGGACCTCCCGGCCACCTTCCGCGCGGTGGGGGAGTGGTCATTTTTTGTCCCCCCCCCCTCGTATCTCCGAAACTACAAAGCGGATCCGTAATATTAAAAAAGTTCGATAGCCTTGTCACAATTGTAGAGGGAACTCTAATTTCATTGACATCGGGGTCACTAATGACGTCACAGGTCAGATCAAAGACAAAATGTTTCGCCATTCACGGGTCTTCTAGGGAATGCGCTATAACATCGAGTAAAGCGCATTTTGTTGAAAATCAGCAATAGGGCGTAAGTTGCCTAGTACATACGTTGCTATTGGAGGTCACTGATGATACCAGGTCAGGTCACAGGTCAGGTCACCAAGGGTCAGCACATGAACCCGACTTAACTATGGTTGTGCAATGCATGTTTTATTACCAATTTTACATTTCTCGCTCAATGGTGCTGGGTATAAGACCATCAGGTACGGTTTAGGTCACTTTCTGGTGGAGGTCAGGTCAATGTCAGTTAAAAAAGTCAAATTTCAAAGTTGATTGTTAGGGGAAGTTGGGGCAATGCCGGAGTTGGGGCAAAGCCGAAATTCGAGATATTTCGAAAACCGTAAGACATGGATGCCACCTGCCAGTGATGCTCTGAAGCTTAAAGGTAGTGTGCCACCTTTGAAAGATTTCCCGTTTTATTTTTCCTAGGATAAGAAGCTTCTGTTTTTACCTAATATCGCAAAAAAAATCAAAAATGGGCCTGGAATAGTGCCTTTTTCGCCTAAAAGTTTATCGGTTTTTAGATATGTATAACAACTGTAGTGGGCTCACCTGCAAACAGGCGTCGGGCAACAATCGCGAATGCGGCGCACTTGTGACAATAAGCAAAGGTCATTATAGTGTTACGACCATACGACGTACGGGAATGAGTTATCAGCTGTCTAATCGTAGACAACACAATGTCGGGCCTTAAACTGTAAGCCTGTATTGGTATTGTTTCTTAAATTTGGCTGTCGAACATTAATTTGTGGTTTGAAATATGATTTTATGTAAAATAATTGATATGAAACAGCCGTCTCTTAAGTTATGACCCCATTACACCACACGCAAGTGGCAGAAATGACAATGATCAGCTGACGCATTTTTCTTGGCCGAAGTCAGAGCGCGCGGCCCCACGCACCACGCGTATTTGGAAATTCCGACCTCGACGAGCATCAGAAGCCACCTAACAGGCGTGTTCGAAACCGCAGGAGATGATGATGAACGGGTTTATCGAAACTTGATTGGATGAGCCTATCGGTAATAGCGATTTTAGTGTGTGCATTTATTGTTCATAGTGGTGGAAATGTGGTTGGGGTACGACCGACAACCCGTCGGGGCGAATTTCGCACTGGGGTGCTCAAAATTTGAAGAATTGAAGACGTTTCCATAAGTTTTGAAGGTATGGATAAGTTCTAAAAATCCGGTTCTCTTTATCCGGGTCATTAACTCCATATGGTCCAGGAAAGCTGGCACACTACCTTTAAGTGACTACAATTATCGCATGTTTGTTACGAGTCGTCATTCGGAATACTTCGGCTGTGAGGGCGCCAAGAGCGTTTTCAAGGTACGCGTTCCTTGTACTACATGCGCCTTTGAAGCTGCATTTCTCACTCATTATGTTACCGTTTGTCTGGCCAATTCGGTCAAGTAATCTTCAGCATGTCTTTGCATAAGTGTGCTGCCCATTTGAAATTTATACGGCACGTTGAAAAGTTTTGGGCCTG